TAGAAATTAGTAATTACATTACATATTATAGATCTGCAGACAGACATAGATAACACGAACACGGGAAACTCGATATCAAGGAAAGTTTGTACAATTTGCCATTCCCCCGACTGATATCCCTTTAATAATTCGATCGGTTAACCCAAATAATGGATGTGTTGAATACTGTCGACAATCTGCGATGAATTTGAGTAGTCTGAACGCGACTGTACTTGTAATCATCGCTTCTCTTTACTCTCGCTGGGAGGATCGCCTGGTGTGAGGGCTGTGTCTTATTGTCTTAGTGAAGCAAACTTGAAGCCAACATCGACAAGTGCGCCTTGAAAGCCAAACTGTCTTTTAGATCCAACCCTATGCTCTTGACCCCAAATAGATCAAACCCTATCCTCCTGACCCCAAATAGATCAAACCCTTCTGACCCAAAATAGATTCAACTCTATCCTCTTGACCCGAAATAGATCCAACCCTATCTTCTTGACCAAAAACAGACCCAACCCTATTCTCTTGACCCAAAATAGATCCAACCCTATTCTCTTGACCTAAAATAGAATCAACCCTATCTTCTAAACCCAAAATAGATCCAACTCTATCCTCTTGAAACAACTTGATAAGAATGTTCACGATCGCATCGACACAACTTATACGGAGGGCCCATTGGGGGATCGGTTCTCTAATACAAACCAATCGCCAACCGATCGCCCGACTTGTCGCCTGAAAACAAATGTGTTTGTTTTTGAAGCGATGAGTCGGGCGATCGGTTTGTGCCACGATAGCCGCTTTGTGCCCTCAATCTGGCTAGTAACCCGAACCGAACCGATCGTCGTAGATTACATGTATTTACGGGGTGGGCTTTTACAACCCTGCCCGTAAAGGCCAACCCAGGCTGAGAGGGATGCCGCACCGGCGCCTGTGGTGTAGCGGTTTAGGCCTCGCGCCCACTTGGTATTTTTTGCCGACTCCAGGCAAAACTTTGTAGGCACATTAGATATTTTGCTTGCATCACGCAAAGTTTATCGTGCAACACGATTTTCGTACATGCAGAATCTTTTGCCTTGAGTGGAATCTGCAGCTGCTCCTCGATTCACCCAAGAAAATGGATAATTTTGAACCATATATTTTTGGTCCCAATTTCCTTTAATATTTGCTAGAAATAATTGTTTTACTTTAGATTCCATATATTTGAGCCGTTCTTAAAGCAGCTGAGTCAATAATTTCGATCTGAAGGCTCCATGGCCTAGATTTGGACCTATCTAGATCTAGGTCAGCTCTGTGTAGCGTCAAACCACAGACTCGAGATTTTGCCTGTCTTCGGCAAACGGCAAATGGGCGCGCATCATTTTTCGTGCCTGTCATTCGTGCGATTACGTCACGAAAACGCTTTGTCTGGTACATGCAAAAAATTATAGTGGGCGTACCACCATAGGCTTTGAGCCGTCACACACAGGAGATATGAGTTCGTTTCCAGGGTGGGGGTGAATTTTTATTATTATTATTATTATCATTATCATTAT